AACAATAACATCTCCTTTCAACATACTATATCATTTTATTAATTCAATATAATTTTTATTGGCTTATTGTTTATTTCGAATTAAAATTAATTCAGCATCTTTGTTTTTCAGCTCATCATTGGTGGCCCCCTAGAAAAAGATTTACAACTCCCACTTTGGGAAACGCCGTCATTCACAAGGACAAAACAGTTACGTGATTTCACGTAAACGTTCAGGATTACATCTCTTACAGCTGTCTAAGTGCCACCCTGGAAAACATGGAGGTGATGTTTCTAGAAAACCTCAGCTGTGTTGGTGTTACGATTGTATTTCCCAGTCTCTGGTACACTGTTATGCAAAATCATGATAAAGCCTGGGATCATTCTTCAAGAACACTGGCATCCACTCTTGAATATAATTCGAAACAGTGGTCTTGAGTCAAACAGATTCTTATACAAGCTTTCTACAATCAGCTTTCTTAAGCCTATTATGGCCAGTTATGTTTCAAAGGTCACAACAGAGCTTATGGACCGTACTGAAAGATAATCCTGACAAACCTGTATGCCCAGGAATCAGTTTTGCCTTGCGTTTGTTACCCTTGTTCAGCTACTCCAATGTGTCGATTCCAAATGTATGGAAGAACACTTTGTTTATACTTACAGCAACAATTAAATGACCTAAAGATACTCCACTTTGTAGTCACTCGGGATTGTGACTAATCCTTCAGATTTCAATATCTTCCGATACGTGCTTAATCCATGATGGTGCAAACAGTTGGAAAACCAAAACTTAAAGGAATGCAAAATTAAATTGCAATTATTGCAGAGAGAGTACATCCATTTAAGAAAAAAATTTCTTACTGGAAAGACTGGTGCTTATATAACTAGGAATAAAAACTACTTGCTCAATACTTGAACCCATATATTATTGCACTCCTCTTCATTTTTGGGTAAAAAAAAGAAAGAAAGAGGGTTCGTTAGCAACGAGAAACTTTTATTCCTGGAATAACCTTTGAAGGGGTCACTAGTTATTCAACGTGGTAGATCTCTGTATTTAAAAGCTGGCAAGCCAGTTTCATATCAACGTAATACCGAAAAATATTCGATGCTGTGTGTGCATCATAAGAGTGACTGCCAATCCCTTAGCATTGAAAAGCATCACGCATTTCCAATCAAATCTCCCACCTTTCAAGTTCCAATTTTAATTACATATTAACTAAATGTCTGAAAAATAAATAACCACACGAACGAAAAAAAACAAAACATTTTATTCAAACCTGCACAAAAATATAAACAGTGAAAGATTTTTCTTCAAAGAAATCCTCACCTTGAAGAATATTGTAGGCGGTTTTCACAAAGATCAAAATCATCTACTGAAGTGAAATATGGGCTTCCACTGTACTTAACGTAATTCCATATCTTGCACAATTCTGTTTGCTTTAATCAATAAAAAACGTTGTTATTTTATAGGTAGTTCACCACATAAACTGCTCTGGACTTTTAACAATTTTTCTAAACTAATTAAGCACCAATTACTTGTTAGTCCACAATTTTGTTGATTACAGGTTCTATAATAATACAGCAACATCTAAACAAAAACTGATAGCTGCTGGGGTTTGTTATGTATTGTATAAAGAAAAAAAAAAAAAAGAGTTGTTAAGCCTAATTTCTATACTCAGTTCTTTAAAACAAGTTTTGTAAGAAATAAAAACCATAAAACTACAGAATATGATGCAATATGTGGATCCAACTGGTAGTGAACAGTATAAAAACAATTTAGTAATTTAAGGACTATAAATTTTCTTTCAAAACTTGCATTAAAAATTTTTATTAAGAACTTCTGACAACAAATAAATCAATTTGATTAAAATATAAAACTAAGTAAACATTAATAAAACGGATCAAACAAAAACTAAATAGAGGAACTTATAATTATAAATCAATCTCCCCCCCCCAAAAAAAACTTGTAATTATTCAATCGTATTAAACCAGCAATTGGTGTGGAATTCAAACAGATTTTAAAGGTCATGATTTGCTACTTGTCATTAAAAAGAGTTTTATAAAACATCTAGTACTTACTGATAGTATAATCTCTTTGCAAACCCATGAAAAAAGATTTAATATCTTCTAAAATATATTTATTTTGTGGCTACATTTTATATGTAATGTACAAAGATGCAAAATGAATTTAATTCTCAGTTATGACATCTACTTTTACTTTGATCATTGTAAGTACCAATAATAACAGTTACCTCAAATTTTGTACGGAGTAGGGTTGTTGTAATTGGGTCATGGTTAGTAACCTATAGAGTCACTCTATAGTCTCATTACCAGTTAGTTGTTAACCCCTCCATTTTGACTATTAATTGGCCAGGTGGTTAGGGCACTTGACTCGCAATCTTAGGGTTAAGGGTTTGAATCCCAAATATGCTCACCCTGCTGTGTGGACATTATAATGCGATGGCCAATCCCACTTTTCCTTGATAAAAGAGTAGGGATGGTTAGTGCAGGTAGCTTTGTGCAAGATTCAAAACAAACTTGACTTAATCTGCTGTAGTCTTAACGAGAGTCCTGATAAGGCCTCTCTGTGGCTTTTTATTGTTGTGCCATTGATTCCAAGTTATACTAACTAGCAAGGGCAAGAAATATGTTTAAGTATCGATCACGGATGAATGACCCCTGTAAGCAAAATATACATAACACGTGTTATTTGTTAGAAAGAATAACACAAGTTAATGTGTGCCACTTGATCAGCCAGTTTGACAGTCATGAAATCATTGTAATAACACAATGTTTGTTTTAAAACTTTATGTCTAAAAACATGACAGTGTACTCACAAGGTAACCACCATTTTAATCAAGTTTCTACAATGTGCTAACACTTACTTACATATACATTTGTCAATCTATCTTCTCATCCATTCAACAATCCATATAGATATACTTATTGTTGTTCAACAGTTTTAAATGTGTTTTTAGCAAGATATTCAATCCTGCTTTTCAAAGTTTAAGAAAATGTTAATTTGATTAATCATGGAGATCCATACAAACTGTTTAAGTTACGTAGATTTGTCAGTCTTCAGAGACATAACAGTATTAACAAGCTCTAAGCCTCTCTGAATCCATTACATGCAATTTTATTTTTTTTTCCAATTTGTGACGTTATTGATACTATTGGGATTATGGTCAAAAATATTGCTAATACTGAAACTGATGAATCAATACATTCTAATCATTACGTAAATAATCATGTGTTACTAACCCTTATCTTGATTTGATAATAATTATGCTTCATTCACTTAATCTAGTTCGCACCCTAAAAACAATTGTTTTTCATGTTATTCATGATATAAATAATGCCTAGATCACTACTATATCTGTTTTTTCCCAGCTATCCGGATGAGCTCTGGAATTGGGTGAATGGTCTTGTCACCACTGGATATAGTGTGGTTGAGATATCATTAAATATGGTAGTATGTAATAGTAGGGGATCGTGATGAAACAAAATGGCAGCCATAAAAAGTGTCCGTTTAAAACCACCTTTAAAATGTCTAAATATTAACAATGACTATTTCACAGTATTGGCTGAGCAAAACTAAAGCTTATTGTACTCATAAAGCTGCCTAAATCGCTTTATATATGTGTGTATGGAGTGAATCAAAATTTCACTATTTCAACAAAGTGATTTGCCAGAGTGGGGATACACTTTTAAAAATTTGAAGAAACTCAGTTTATGTAGTTTTGACTTTCTTGTTTCAATACTTTTTATAGTATTACAACTTTCTATATTACTATAGCTAGCTAGGTTATGTATATATACATCCCTAGTTGTCTTTATAAAACTAACATTATTTTTATTATACTTGCCACAACATATTCTTTTTTTTTTGCTTTCATTCTTACTTCTTAGAATTATAAGTTAAAAAAGTATATTAACTACATTCATTACTAAGTGAATTTTTAGTTCACATTTAAGTAGCCAGCTTATTTCGATTAGAAGTTCAAGATATTGTTGACTACAGACTCAGTTAGCTTTAACCTCGCTTTTAGGACAAAATTAGCTTCAAGTGAAACCTATCACATCCAAAGCATCAGACGTTTCAGTCTTTCATCAGTATCCATGAGCAAAAAAAACAACAAATGTGATGAAAAGACTGATTCTATTCTATTTATGAAGAACTTAGTTTTTTTCTAGACTTAATTCTTTTGTTCTCATACATGTTGTTGTATAATTACTTTTTTATTGATAATTAACCAAACCTACCAGTGCCACATTTATTTTTAGATACACACAGACATGTATTGTTGTATAATTACTTATTTATTGATTGTTACTTGTCATACGAACATTAAATATATTAAAATATTTCACATACGTTCTCAGTTTGTAATATGTATTAACTAATTAATTAAGTATTTGTCCATTTATTTCCAAAACCTGCAAATTAATAAGTTAATTTAACAATTACTAAATTTATTGCCTATCCATTTTTTAAAATGTTTAATTAATATCATACTTTTCAAGGTTAAAACAAACGCAATCTAGAATATTCTATTATAGCGGTGAAAGAAAGCATAAAAACAAGAGGAATCTAAGAAAAACATATTCTTCAAAGTACAACTTTAAAGATAAATAAATATATATATAAATGAGCATACTTTACCGTATCACAAGTGCAATTTTTGTTGGCTTTCGAGTAGTTGGTTACAACAAACAAGTTGGTTCCTTCAACTTCATAAAGCGTATACTTCTCATTTGTTATTTTTGGATCAAAATGAACCTTGATTATAAAAGAAATATTGTACTAAGTCTGCATTCATGGAATCTGAAATACATTACTTATTTAACTGGATTTTTGTTCCTACAAAATAAAATGTTATGCGTTTATTCGTTGTAAAATATAAAAGCAGTATTTCGAGCTCTCGTGTATTGGGAATAAGTGTTAACACTGAGGTACAGCAGTCATTCCTCGATCTGATGATTACACTAAGAAAAGTCCACTATGTCTTTTGTAAAATTTATGATGGAAAAAAAGAGAACATGTAATGCAAAACCAAATAATTCAGGAAAAAAAGACTTGCTGGTAAAACTTTCTAACAGCCGATATCAAACGAAGACCTTGTTGACTAAAGACCAAGTATTAAAGAAAGATCTAAGTAAAAATTAATATGTACAAGAGTAAAGAATGATATAAAATACGTTATGCTGAGTGCTGGAATTATGTGAGTCACAAAATTAGAGTACTAAAAAGTAGATCTATCAAAAAATTTCAAATGCCGTTTAGTTTTTATTACATAAAATTTAAGATATCCTCAACAATTTTTTTAACTAATTCCAATATCTGTTGAACCTAAAGTCTTCAAAAACCGCACAAGTATCACCTTACTTTTACTAATTACTCTACAACAGATTGCGGGTGTCAGGAGTCATAAAATTACTTTGTAGCTTTTGTAGATAATTTTGTACATTTCCAGAGTGATTTTTATATAAGTATATATATATATAGAGAGAGAGAGAGATTGAATACATTACATTAAAACAATCTTGAAGCCTCACCACATTGTCACAGTCCATTTATTTATGTTTTGTCTAATGACTGTGCCCCATAGCATAGTTTCCATTGCAAAAATGCTGTTAAGTTTAATGCATACCACAAACACCTATCTGGAATATCATGAATTTCCATTTTATTCTCCAGCCACTAGATGACAGTTTAATGGATTTAGTGTAGAAGCAACCTGTGCCACTTTTCTGGATGGAGATCCTTCTTGGTTGTTGTCTGTAATACATGGATGGCTTTTGCCACTGACCTTTGTGTTTGTGGATTTCATGTATTAGGAGACACTACAGTTTGGGTACAACTTGTTGTAGTTCTCTTCCTGATTGGTCCTGGTGTCCCAAGTTGATTCATATTCATATGTTTTCCAATAGCATTAAGCAAAAAAAGAGATATTCTCACCTTGGAAATTCTAAATCCACAATCTGAATACATTTTTATGATTTATTGGATTAGTATTTTGTGTTGTAAATGGATGTTACATATCCATCCCAAAAGTGATCCATTTCTGTTGGCATCACACAAACAATGACAAAATGTAGTTCTGATACATTCTGTTCCACCAAGACTTTATATCAGCTGTGATTGTCATGCGACTTGTTTATTTGCATATTTAAAAGCATTTTAACATTATGATGTGACAAGTAGATTTTTGAGCTTGACATTTAGAGCCACATGATGCGACAAGCAGATTTACCCCAGGCTTCACAAAAACCTTTCCATTCACTGTGACAAGTG